AAAAAAAAATGTTTGTATACATTTTGTCATCTTTGTTTTTTCTGTTAAACTAAATCTAAACTAAAAAAAACGGTTACGTTTTACATATTAGTCATTGTTGACATTCATCACAACTGATATCAGCTACATTTTGTGAAATATCAGCACTGTTATCGAGTAGCGTCAGCATTTTTTTTTTATAATAAGATTTGAAGAAATCATCAGAAATAGAAAATTGGGCCTCAGCAAATAATAATGCATGTTATTATACTAATTGAGTAGATGAACTTTACTGGATGATTAAGAAAAATCTTCCATGGTGTACATACCATTGATTATGCAATATTGGATTTTTTTGGGTTTTCTTGTGTCGTAATACGCAGAAATTCATTATCACTTTGACGTGTTCATAAAATTAATAATAATATTCATTTCACAAGCACAAAGGACAAGATGTTTTTTTTACTATTGAACAATGTTTTTTTATATACGTGTATACTGCAGATAGATTAGATACATAACTAATATCTATCTAAGATAATCTATTTTTAGTATATGAAAAAGAAAAACAACACTGAAAGCATTGAAAACCAAATTTTGTCAAAATTATAAAAAAAATGTCGGTTAACAATGTGCAACCACATCAGATTTGTATGAATATTTGAATATTTACAAAAGTTAAGGTGAAATGTTAGAAAAAACATCTGTGTGCATTTGATAGATATTTATGTTTATGTTCTTGTTTGTGCACAACCTTAGTGCTAGAACATTTCAATGAAGAGTTAAAAACTTTTAGTTTTAAAATGCGCAGAAAAATGATATGATACTTACCTTCAATGGTTCAAAATTATATCAAATTATTCAATCGTGAGATCTCTTTAAACGAATTAAACATTAATACACACATGCCATTGTCATGGCCATTTTATATTAATTTAATTAATATTTCCTTTAATTTATTTGCATGCCTTATAGTTGTTTATAAATTGAAAAATTGTTCGGAGTCTAATTAATTGTTCTTAACTGCAACATAATATCAAATGTTTCACAAAATGCAACTCTAACAGAGTTGATCTTTAACGAGTAATCGACTCAAGCAGAAAAAAATCGATCTCAAACAGACAGCTTAAATCATTCAATATTGTTCGATATCTAATGGTTACAATTGTAGTTTACTTAACAATTTCTTTCATTTAAAATTTGTACAGATCATATTTTCATCATTAAATATCATCCTAATAATGAACATAAAAATGTACGCATATCACGAATCTCTCTCAATATTTACAACCAATGCAAGTGTTTGCCTTATAGGCCATGTGTATTTTTCTACATTGACTCGATTGACTAAATATACATAAATATCTACACTGTGCAAATAGTAAACAGCTGGTCAGTGTTTACTTGATTATAATTTACAATAAAATAATTGAAATCAGTGTGAACTGTAATAGTGTGTTGTTGTTGATGATGTTTTTCTTATTTTTGTTAAATTGTTGATACATTTTTTTTTAAAGAATTGGTATTTGGTTGCAGTAATCATAATTTACCCAAAAAGTCGTGGGTATAAATTTTTTTTCGGTAACCGCGCTGTAGGAACAATTTTACTGCTACAACAATGATGAGCATGCAGAATGCATATAATAAAATGCCCATACGTACATCAATTTCGGAAAATGCGCCCGTATATCCGGTGTTATTTGAATTTTGCAATTTTGATGTGTACACACTGGATAACATTTGCGGTAACACACTTTCATCGTCAACACCATAACGGCTCAAATTGAATAGCGAATAAACGCGACGCAAATAGTAAAGCACTTCACTTGGATGCCAATGAAGTATAAAACCGGCTGGTGTGGGTGCAACAATTTGTTGATAGCATTGTGGACATTCTCGTTGTGATGGATATTGAATTTTTGGAAAAGCTGGATCTTCTGTTGCATCACCCGATAATCGTTGATTCACTTCATTGTGTGCTGTCCATAACCACAAAACCGCTTCTTCTTTAGTGGCCACTTGCCAAATACCATTACGATCGGACATTTCCTGAAAGTGTTTACTGCAGTGCGTACAACCGAAATAGTGTTTTACAAAACCATGAATTGCTTGCAAAACTTCTAGAGCATCGTGAGATCGATCTGAATTGCTGGCTTGTACCGTTAAATAGTGGAATAGTTGCCAAAGGCCACAAGAAAATCCACGACGTCCGGCAACCGATGGTTTACAACCAACCCATTTTGATGACGAAAATACTGGTTGATGTATTTTCTCGAGTTCTTTCATTTTGCTGCTCAACGTTTTGCCATTCAACTGCGTCACACTGTTTACGTATACATTCAGGTCAGACAAAAATCTCTGACCGTTGTCGCCTAGGGGTGAATATCTGCAATTGAAAATTGTACGATTATTATTATTTTTTAAAGAAACAATTAAGCCAACAATCATCTAGAATTTTGATTTATATTTTAAATTAAATTTAGATTGGTCATACGAATCGAACGAAACGTATTTGTTAATTTATTTAACACATGAACATCTGAACAAATAATGTCATCTGAATTCGATTTAGAATGAGGTTTCTGGAGATAATTTATTTGGCGAGTGATAAAATTAGAAACAGAAATATCTTACTTCTGCAGAACCCATAAGAAATGCTTGAGAGCTGTAATTTGTTCGTCATTCATGCTATTGTATTTTGTCAGTTCATGAAAAACAGCGAACCGTATGGCTGACTCCAAATCTGTTTGGAACACAATTCCTGGATTCCCTTTTACATATTCAATGATAGCCAAATCTCTTTCGTTTGTTTGGCTCGTTGCTGTATTCAAATTTGGTGAAATTTTCGATATGTTTTGCAGTTGATTCATCTTCACTCCTTTTGATATTAAGAATTCTTCAATGGCTGTTCGAACGAGAGTGTGATTTAGTTCTGACGCTTGTTTTACTAATTCGACGTGATTTAAACTTCTCACACCCACATAAACGGCAGATGGAATAGTTAAACCAAGCCGTTGAGCGTCTGTTGCGTGTAGTTGACGTACTTGCGCATAACTATTTAAACTGTTTAGATCCAAGGCAACTTTGGGCGCAATAATCGAATCATTTTTTGAGTCCAACACCATAAATACATACTCAACCGTCGATGGTACACCGGCAAAAACGCCATATGTTGCGCTAATTGGTTGTAAATTTGGCCATGAACTTGGTGCTGATGTTGAATTTGCCAGCAATGCTATCAGATGTGGTTCACCCACTGTCATTGGTGCATGTTGCACTTCAATTCCCAAATGGTTCGTCTCATTTCGATAGAATGGTGGAAAGAATTTCAATGTTGGATATCGCATAATTTCCATGTCACGACAAATATCGTTGTTTGCATCATCAGCACAATCAATGGCAGACACTCGAATAACATCTTTCCACGCGTGCACTTCTGCAGCCCACGCTTTGTAAATCGGTGCGAAGTTTCGGCAGAAGCCACAAAACGAGTTGTAAAATTCAACATTGCTGGCATATGGTTGATCGTAAATGGTTTGATAGAAATTTTCATGTGTCAGTACAAAGACTTTATCATTGCTGTCATACAAACTTTGTGCTTGTTCGCCTTCTTGTCGTATAACAGAATTTTCCACAAAACCAAACGTAACAAATACAATAAACAAATGTACGCCAATCATTCTTATACGATTGTATCGATGATAATGTCTATGCTCCATGAAACACCATTAAAATAACATCAATACCGTTGCTATTCTCCACCAAAATTTTGCACATTTATAACTTAAAACACGGATTTTGTAAAAAAAAAAAAACTATGTAAAATGTACAGTTGAATCAGTAGTCATCAATCTCTTTATAGGTCTGCTTGTATCTATGTATGAAACTGTAAATATTCGACGATTAGAAAACAAGTTTGTTTCTCGCTGTTTAACATATACGTCCAAAACTATATCAAAACTAGAAAGTACAAGATATCGCACCAATTTATTTAAAGTTACAGGCAGCAAAAAACCTGCTTTTTGGCGTTCAAATCAGATTCGTTTAGATTTTGAACCGTCTCAGCTTACGGTAATATGGTAACTGAACAACTGATACAGAAAAAAACAAATCGTCGGCGTGTTCACTTCAAATCATACAAATATTTACACTTATTCACACTTTGAAACCAATTCAATTTTCGAATTGATTAACCACTTAATTTATAAATGATAATAACACATACTTTTTTCTCACTCTTTTTATATACAAAAACATTCGAACTGTACTATTGAATACATTCACCACCAAAAATTATAGACATTTATACGGGGCCATGAAAAAAAAAACACACACAAAATCGGTGCAAATGGTTAGCATGCATCATGAAAAATGACAATATTCACGTATTCATTGACCATATACGTTGGAATGTATGTGTGTCACAACCAGTTTGACAGTTGCTCATTCTATTATTCACTTCTTTCTATTTCCAATTCTCATTTGTACTGAACTGACAACTGGAATACAACAACACAAATCTCAACCGTACATGGCGCTTGTGTCAATAACAACATTACGGAAAAATGGGAAATTGGAATGAGAAAATTTTTTGTCGAACATTTTAAATTTGAACCATTTCCAAGCGATAAATTCAATTTTAATTGAAATGTATACAGCGAGAATTATAAATGTTGAACTAATTATTTCCATCTGAAGCCAAATGTTTACTTTACATTCATGTTTATTCTTCTTGAATAGAATTAATTTACTAGGTTAATTGATATTTGTTTATTATTTTCATCTGTCTTTTAAAAATCGGTTTCCCTTTGGTTCGGAATTATTTCTAATTTCTAATTTAAAATGTATTTGTATAGATATTTTTGAATTTTCTATACCGCTATCATGAATAAAAAAAAAAGAAAATAATTTGAATTATAACAAACGAGTGATAATGAGCATATATTTATTCAAAATTCAAATTCATTATTACATCTATTATACAATATTTTAACAATATATTATGTTCTTTGAATAAATCATACTAACAACATCATTTCATCAAAAATTAAACGAGAAATTGGCGCAAATATTTGAAATATGCACTACATGTGTTCAAATCTTTGCAAAGGACGTTTTCTTTAAATAGATTCAATTTTTCACATTTATTCGCAATAAGTTTACAATTATTAATATCATCACTATTCATCGTTTTTAAATGCATATAAACACGTGCACATTTGACAAAAGCCAGCCACAATTATCCCAATATGTTATATATTTTGAATTTATTTGCGATACATTTTACTAATTTTGAACATCATTTTGTAGTTCATGAAGATCGCCCGAAATATAATAAAAAATTAAAGACTTTTTATGAATAATAATTGAATCCAATTTTCAATGAAGCGATAATAATAAAGATAAGAAACACTAAAGGAAAATTGGATCACTTGCAGAAAGGATGGTCAAATTCTCTAACACGGAGAGCGACGCGTCCACAAGCCTTTGCGGCCTGTATTATGCCGAGCACAAAAATCTAAGGCGTACGATATAACAAAATGTGAGCACCAGCCGAAATGCGGATAGTGTGTCCATGTATCGTTAACGATATTTCAATACGAAGTGTACATTTACTCACATATGTACCTTTTTTTCTCTCTCTTCCTCTCTTTCTCTATCTCGGTGTTTTCATACAAATTGTGTGTTCTATACAAAAAAAAAATCGACACTAGACTCACTCATATATCCCAATCTGTTGTTATATGTGTGGTGCGGCTGTGGTACATTTTAGCGTTTTGTGATCGTTTCTTTCTCGAAATGCACATTGGTTTTCGAGCTTGTTGCTCTCTGTGTTGTGTGGATCGGATCGGCATACACATAAATTTTAATATACATGTGTACATAATATAGTTTTTTTTTGTGTTGTGTTTTTTTTTCGGTGATTATGCTCTGTGTATATCTGCATATTTTGCTTCGTCACCTTTTCTCTCGCTCTCTCGCGGTCCGGTTAAGTTTTCACCCATTTCATTCGTTGTGCGTTCATCCGTTTGCGTTTCAACAATTCATCTCATTCATTATTTTCCTTGCCTGGTGTTTATGATCATTTATTTTGGTGTTTTTCTCTCAGTTTAAATGCGACTGGCTAGCCAAACGGTTCAAAGTTTGTGTGTGTAGTGTTGCAATTTTACGTCTTGATACCGTTGATTAACGTTTCGGTGCTTATTGTATTTGTTTATAATCGATTTAAATTCATTTCGATTTATATATTTTTTTTAGTCATTCAGTGTTGAATATTAACATTTGTGCCAGTTTTGCTATTTCGTTTTTTTTTGTTCAACTTTTGCATCAAAGTAACCAAAATTCTACTTAAGGAATGAGTGTAATTTTTTCTGCACGGCTGCCATGCATTCGATCATGAAATTGATTTAAAGTCCCAGGCAAGAGTTTTCTTTGCAGCGCAATCAATCATATATGGGATTTTTGTGTTTTTATCACATATCAACATATTACTTGCGAACAATCATAAAGCAACGCTAAGTTTGATATCACATTATCAACCAAAAGTGTAAAAATTTTTTATCGTAGTTTTATGTAGAATACAAAAATAAATTAGTACAAAAACGTTAATTCCTTCGGTTGGAGAATTGTCACTTGAATTCAAAGAAGAAGAAAAATGTGCTATGCATTGTCATTTATAACTATTACTATTGATGGGTTCATAGTAAAACGTTTGTTTTCTTTTCACACGTTTAATTGTACATAATTGATAAAAGATAAATGATAACGGCCAAATGTCTTCAGCAATGCTATAGAATGTGAATAGCATAGTCATTTTACTGAAGATATAGTTTTTCGTCATATATCTTAACAATTATGGTGCCAATTATAACACACAATCATATATAAGCATATGTTCTTTCCGAACTAATTGAAAAGAAAAAAACTGTAGTTTTCCATGAATATTGTTTGCGTGTTTGTTTTTCTAATTGCCCAGTTAGTTCACGGTGTATTGTTTTACTGTTTGCGTACATCACATTTTGCCGTGATATGATATGTTTTGGTTTAATGTTTATGCAAAATCCTACAATTATAATATCCTCTGAACCCTCCTAGGACACTTATGGTTTTTCGTTGTGTGTTTGTCATTCCACAAATTTCGATATGCAATGTCAAAATGGTTGTGTGAATACGAATACGAAAGAGCATTGATTTGAAATCTAAGTAAAAATGTGTAAATTAAAAATGTACAAAAGATACATTTTCGACAAACCGCATTGAAGTAATTCTAAAAACGTGCACACAAAAGACCAAAAAACCATCACACGCCGTACACATTGTAACAATAAACAAAAAAAAATACGATAACATCATATCGATTATTATAGTCTATTTCTCGTTTTCGGCTCCTTTTCAATGCGTCTTTTTTTTAGTGTAATGGCATGTGATTTGCTACTTTAGCTGTATGAATTATTATTATTATTATTATTGATTTCAAAATCGTATAGATCGTTGATGATATCCCAACCGAGATACTGTTATTGTATTCGATCATTTGTTATATCAGAGAGAATACTGAAAATAATTTGAAAATTTGTGATACAATAGCCAACATCCACTTGGTATATCAAAGCAGAAAGAAGACAAAAAAGAAGAAGAAAAAACGGAGCAAATCTACTCTCCTTGCGTGAGTTTATTTGTGATAATCGAGTTTTATGGACAAAAATTAGGCGGAGTCTCTTATACTTCGTACGTTTTATAATTTACGTTCCTATAATATGTATTAACTAGAATCCAATTTTCAAAATGCATTCCATTTTTAGCACGATCCACCAAACCATAAGCAAAAAAAAAAAAAAAACCATAAACAAATGAGAAAAGTCGTAATGGAAATTTATGTTCTGAACGCAAATGATCAAATATATAGTTTATTATTGTAATTTAAAATAGGTATTCTAACATTGATGTAGAGGTCAATGTGTAAGTTGTATGTGTAAATGAATGAAAGACAGATTATTTTCAAAATGAAGAGAGACAAAACTATACACGAGTAAATCGAATGGAAAATTTTTTGCGTTCAAATAAATCGATGTGATCGGTTGGTTTCATTTCTGCATTGAGTGCATGGTTAAAAGAATATATCGAAACTCGAAATTGTCTATTTTCGTATACATGATACGGCATTGCATTTTGTAAACAAAGGTTATTTCAGAATGGAAAATTAGTCGTAATTTTTGTTCTTTGTCATATTGTCGCTCTTTTTTCTCTCTCAGTCTGTTCAATAAACAAAATGTATGCATTTGCATTGACACGCTAACATCGCTATTGAAATCAATTTTTCCACTCAGTCTCAATGCAAAGACAAATTGACATGCGTGCACAAAATAGATTTCTACTCATTTTTTTGCTGTCTCTCTTTCAAACAACAACAATAACAACAAAAAAACAGATTGTACATGGTCTCTGATTCTTTCAACATTGAGTATATTGTTATCAAGAGACGTGCATTGGAGTGCATGCAGATCGGTACGCTGAATCGACTACTTTGCTGCGCTCTCATGTCGACATAATGTCTGAAGTGAACGGAACACGTAAAAGATGAACGAGAGAGATACTGAGGCAACCACGAGAATGTGTATACTGTTTATTTATTGAGAGAATTTGTATGAGTGTGTGCGAATTCAAGAAAAAAATGGGCTCTGCTACTCATGGACAATTACAATATATTACATCTTTAATATTGTTTTTATTAACACTCGATCTTACTAACGATGGAGTTGACATAAACTTTCGATCGAAAAGAAAATCAACAACAAACTATGTGCAAAAACTCAAAGATGTGTACTATTTTTTTTCTTTTAAATTGTAAAACCAAACAATTGTGAGTTTTTAGCAAACGTTTAAATATTTCGGCATCGTCTACCACACATCAGTACTATAGCATAGGTAATATGGTGCATCAACAAATGCATGGGAAGTTTGTATCGAAATTTCTTCATACAGACAACGTTGTTGGCGACGGTATGTCTGCCTTTTTCAAAATCTCTCTTCACTGTTTATCTGTGCGCGGTCCCTATAAGCATTAACACATTTGCCACAAAATGCATGAAGTGTACACACAAGGCAGAACAACATACGAAAAAAAACTACAACAACACAACAATATCGACAACGCACATGCATTATGTGCTCTCCGTTTCGCTGCTCGATGATGATCGGCAACTTCATAGGACTGCGTTTTTGTCTTTTTTCTTAGTGTTCTGTTCAAAAGGCCAAAAACGAAATGAAAAATAAAAAAAGGAGAAAACATACAACAGCAAAGATTGGATACTCTTTTTTTTTCTCTTCTTCTTTGTCGTTTTCTTTCTTCGATTTTTATTTCGTTTTCTTGGGATTCAACTTCTAATTTTCTGTTGGTAGCTTTTCTGTATTTCTCTCACATCTCCTTTCATTTCCAAGCCCTCGCAGTTCTTTGAGCTGCACAAGTGTTTTATGGTTATTTTTTTTTATCTAACCATAAGCTATCTTTGACTTGTTTCCATCTCATTCTGTTGTATGGGCTCTCAGCAACAGTTATTATGTTGTTTTTATTTAGTCGCTTGTTTTCGGATGAGAGCTCTCCAGTTGTTTTCTGGTACGAATGTGTATAATATGCATGTATGCGGCACGTATGCGAATACAAATGCTTAAATTCTGGTATATTATCATCGGACTTACGAAAAATAACAGCAGTAACCAAACAAAAAGAGAACGAGATAGAGAGAGAGAAAGGGAGTGATACAAAGAGAGAAAACACAAAAGTAAAAAAAAGAATGAAGCAATCATCGTTGTTATACTTTGGTTCCACACACTCTTTCACTGAAGACCTGATCTTCAGCCCATCACACACAATCATATGCACATTTCATTTTGTCTCAATGTTGTTCTGCTCTTCGCTGTTTAGTTTCTTCTTCGTTTTTTTTTTTGTCAAAAGATTCCTTTGTCGGACTCGCTATTATCGAAGGATATTTCCAAAATATATGTCATAAGCAATGTTCTGTTTACATTCACTTTCACGGCTCAAATTTAAATTTTTATATTCGCAAGAATTTCATACTTACGTTACTTTTGCCAGTTTCCCACGTCCAGAGAGAGGCATAAAGAGCATACAACTAGAAAGTTGCGTTACATTCATCAAGCATCCCGATCACTTGCAATTTTCGAATCTCATACTTAGCAATGAACAACAAAAAAAACTGCTCCACTCGTTTGGTTCGGGGAAAGAATGTAATGTCGCAAATAAAAGTTAATCTGAATCCAGCCGAGATGAACGGCGACCAAACCACTCAAGCAATAATAATAATAATGATAAAAGTAGAAAAAAAAGTGTGGAGACCAATGAAAAAATGGAATTGGAACCAGTTTACGATCGTGTTGCATTCGTTTTCAAAATGAACAGAAAAACATTTTTTTTTATATTTATTTCATTGGCTTAAGCATCAACATTTCTGTTGTTTCTTTTTGCATATGAGAATTCATTTTTTTTATAAATTGATTTGACTTGCAAAAAGTTGCCCAATGAATTGGAGTGACAATCGCCCAGAAGAAGGAACTTGCACATTTTTTTTGCATTAAAGTTGTAAAACGAAAGCAACACATCTATTGAGCGAATCAATCGTTTTTGTTGTGTATTTTAAAATATCATGAACAATGAAATTTGCTTGCAACTTATAGCCTTTTCTGTCGATTTCCAGAAATTCAAAATCATGTTGTTTTTAATGTGTCTGATCTCTTTGTTGTTACCACACTCAATGAGCATATCCATTTCGTCGTCGTCATCATCATCATCGTCGTTACTATCATCCGCATCAACAGTACAATCAACAGGAACGCAAACAGAACGAACGGTAAGTAGCTAGAACCAGTTTGTTTTTATCATATAAAAATTTATTTGGAAAAATTTTGTGCTTTTAATATGCAAAAATACAATGTTTTGAATATGCATAACAATTGCAATTGCCACGCATTTCCTTGCCGATTTGTCGATTTCACCAAGAAATTACTCTCCGTACACGATAACCATCGGAATGGATATAATCAAATGCAATTTATACTCTTGAATGATAGCAAAAGAGGATCCGTTGCAGTGTGTTTGTGTGTGTGTGTGTGTGTGCATATAATTTGATTTTGCCACATCGAGTTCGTCAAGTAGGAGTAATGCACAAACACTTCATTAAATTATTAAATCGCCTTCATTTGCTTCTGTTTATGTTTATATTAATTTGTACTTGTGGCCATGCGGCAAATATATGAATGTGCGACACACAAGGTTTTTCGAACTTTTCGTCAATTGATCTTCTTTCTGCTTTCTTTTGGTTCATTGGCAAAGTGTATTGTAGTAAAGTCCGTCGGAATAGTCAATTTGAATCCGCCAAGGCCCATATCTAATATTGCTAAACAAAAACACTATATTAGTTTTTAGATTTTTTTTTACATGTGATTAAATGCTGTTTGATATTTTTTATATTGGATTATTAGATTATGCGTTATTACTTTATCCTTTTGTTATTTATGTAAGGAACATCGACTTTTCGGCTGTATATTTTATTCGACTGTATTCCACGCATGCTTCGGCATTTTGATCTCAGTTTTATTTTCGTCCATTGTGAAAAAAAAAGTAATTCATTTGCCTAAATATGGAAATGAATCAGACACTAAGCAGTACGTCACAGCGTACAAGTCTAACAAAACACTTAAAGTGATGATTATTAAACCTCCGGAATTGACGATAATTGTTTCGTTTAACGGTTTAAACTACCATTTCGATTGCAACACACTTGCGCGATTTGGTTTAATGCCCGGTTTAAAGGTCAGACGACTAAATATTTATTCGGACTCTATTCACACCATTTATTTATTTTTTCTCTTTATTTATCAAGTAGAGTCTATGTTATGGTGAATTTCTTTTATCGTTTTATTCAACATATAGTTCAAAAGCAATGGTGTTTAAAGCTGTTGCAAACGACACTCTATAAATGATTTGATCGTTATGTTTTCGAACGGAAAATTGTTAAATGTGATACTGAAAGTAATAAAAGATTCAAATTAATATGCTTTTGTGTATGCTCTTGCGCGGGCGCACGCTCAAATCTTACTAACCAACTTTGCATTTATATAGATAATTTTGAATTTATTTGGAGAATTGGTCAATAATCGAAGTATATATTCAATGTCTGGTATTCAAAGTGCAACATTAAATACACTGTAAATTGGTCACACGAACACACATTCAAACACTTTACTTGACTTCATCTGAATAATTTATCACGGAAACATTTAATTAGAGTGGACAGTTCAAGTTCTTTTGCTTATTGTTAAGGAAGCAAGAGTGCGATTTATTTACGCATTCAACGTCATAGCGTAACTAAGACCGAGCTATCTTTGATTGGCAAGCAAAATAATATGGTTTTAATCTAATTGAATTAATCGAATAAAGCGTTGCAACTACATACAATAATTTACACATCAATCGAGTACGTAAAAATGACCGTTTTCAAATCAAGAAAACTTTAAATGTTACATTTAAGAAGAACTGGTAACAATGTAGAAAATATAAATCATTTAGGAATAAGCTATTATTCGGTGTTTTATTGATTCAAAAATGACCGCATATAAAAAACATGAAATTCCAGCGCTATGAAATGACAATCACGTAGATGATCGAGAGGGAGAAAGAGAAAAAAATGTTGTATAAACTATAAAATATCCAGTCCGATAAGAAACGGATTTGCGACGTTAGCGAATTCCTGCATATTAATTCTAATGGCTTTTCCATTGTGTGCAGGAGCAATGAAGAAAACACCGTAAATAAGTAAATGATAAAAAGATTTTGTTATATCTGGTGATTTAATTGTTCAAGTAGCAATCAATTTGACACCTCATTCGATTATATTTTAACGAATCGATTTTATCGGCACTTTTTGGGGTTTCCTCACATTTTTTTTATTGGTGCCGATCATTAATTTGTTATGTGTATAACGTTTCTTTTTTACTTTTTTTCTCTTCCACAATTCGTTGTTTCGTATGGTGACGGATGTTTATTTCGTGATAAAGTTTTCTAAGCTATAAACAATCGACCTTACAGCTGATCGCCAAAAATAACAATGACAAAGAAACTACACGCAAAAAATAAAAAAAAAAAACATAAAAAATGTTACTGCAGACTGAATTAATTCGTCGTCTGTTCCGGGTCTAGTTAGGGGTTTATATTGTAATTTGTCGGCTCCGATATAATTTTCTCTCTCTCTCTCTCTCTCTGTGTGTGTGTGTGTGACTATTTTCAATAGATTGACAAGTGCATGTTGATAGCATATTGTTTCTTTAGATTCAACTAAAATCGAAAAGAATTAAGTTTCGTTTATTCGCAGAAAAGCTGTAAATTTTATTCTAGTTTGATATTTGTTGTTGTTATATGAAATTGAATGACTATTTCGGTTAGCGCTCCTGTGCGCTTTGCCTCTCAATAATTTATTGTCAGTTCTTTTTTTCTGGACACACAGCAAACCAGATGAAGATGAAAAAACAACAACAACGACAACAACAACAAGACAGTCGAACGAACACACAGTTCACGAAATATTTTATAAATGCTGACTTCATACACTTCGCGCTACTTAAATACACAACATTGTTGTAGAATACGCGACAAGAGCAAGAAAATTTGTGTACGAAAAACCAAATAGAAAATGAAATAATATGTTTATTATAAAAATTATAATTGGCGACATGGCGTCAACGATTTTTTCTCCTGCTGCTAGTGCTGCCCGTTTCAACATTTATTTTAAATATATTACAGCACATAAATGTGATAAATAGATGTATGTATTGACTGTTAAATAAGTATAAATAGAAACACTGCTGTTCACTGTCATTTGAATTCGTTTGGTTTGTTGACGTGTTAGATAATGGACATCATTCCATTCGAATTGTGTACATTGGATACTATAATCAAATATCTATGCAGTTGTGTGTATGTGAGTGTGTATATATTTGCCTCAATTCAACTGATATAATAACGTATCCAGTATTTAAAGCGATTCGATCGGTAATTTATGCGCGTATAACAATATAACCTCTTACCTGAAAATAGATTCTAATCAAATGCCATAGACGCGATTATCGATATGTGATCGCGATTGCAAATTCTCCAGTAATATACACTAGCGGCAAAATAAGAATTAACGAAATAAATAAGAACAAAGTGTGTAAATATGGACAAATAATTCATATATTAATTTAAAATAATGATAATAACGGCGCCTTTTCGATTCGATGTGTTTGTGTAAAACACTTCTTGTTTTCTTTTTTCGGGTCCAATAATTGTACTCCACACTCCATATGGATATTAAAATACATAGAAAGAAGTTGAATTGATTTTCTCACTTGATTCATTTGCACTATTACGATTGCATCTGAAAAACAATTCAATAGAATTGGTTCTTAAATTGGGATCATCAACAGAGATCATATTTCGATAGCGTGTGCAGTTTTTGTTGTTGTTTTCATTGCTTTGATTGTTCGCGTCTGCATTATATCACTTTATTTAACAAAAAAATGTCGATATATTAAGTGTGTGTGTGTGTTTGTGCGCGTTCTTCTCAATTGCAATTTACTAAATGTAATGAAAAACGAGTAACATTCAAAAACAGTATATAATATCTGGCATTTCCTCATCTCATCAGAGAGTTCTTTTGCCGTCAGTCGACAGCTGACGCATATGTTTGTTTAACAGATGAATCAAATATTTGTTTCGCATCTTTATTACATCGTCGAATGAAATGATTTTTAAACACCAAGTAATTAGCTTATACCATTATTTCAGTTCAGTTGTTGCATGTGTAGTTTGAAGTGTATATTTAAAAAAATGACGAATCGTTCTTCAGTTTAAGACTGTGAATTTGGTTTATATCAAACAAGAATTTAATTTAGCAAATAAAATATGGTTAATTTGATTTCTTTTCTTTCCGTTTTTTTTTACACAGATACACAGATTTAATTGTACGTCCAAGGAAATCGAATGTGACGAATCAAAAGCAAGAGCCGTTTGCGGCACGGACAATCAAACCTATACCACACGATGTCATTTACTTCGAGCACAATGTGCCGGCCACAAAGCGAGTTTGAAACATCGTGGTCCATGCAAAGGTATTTTCATTTCCGACTCGAAAAAAAAATATATACTTAAACAACAATTCGAAAACGCAATTTTCTTTTCGGTTTTAACGAAAAAAAAAAAAAACAAAGCACATTCAGTCAATTGATTTAAAGAATTTATGAATTGCAAAGTCAAGTGGATTTATTTTTGGATTATGACGTCCTCTCTTTATTTTCTTTTCTACTTTATCATTCATAATTTATGTTTTGATTTAATTACTTTTAATGTTGTTGACAAACCAAATATTAAATAAAATTTTTAAATCTTTTTTCGTCAATAATATGTAGAATATTATTCGTACACAGAGTGTCTGGAAACTCGTACATATGCGATAGCACATCGATCGTCATCACATAAGAAATTTGTGCCAAGATGTCGATCCGATGGCACATATGCAGCGATTCAGTGTATGGGAGGTGCGGGTTGTTGGTGTTCGGATGGTCAAGGTAAACCAATACCGAATACGACGACAACAAGTGGTAAACCAATATTATTTATCAATTCTTATTGATTCTTTTTTGATTATTTGTCGATTATTTTAAATGAATTCTATTCTTTTCTTTTGTGATTCTCCCCTTAGGTAAACCAATATGCCCGAAAATCGGTAAAGTGAATATTCGACGATCACCAGCACGAACTCAAAGTGTTAATCGAACAAAAAATCGTAGCCGTGTCTGTCGACGAAATGATCAACGTTTATTTAACAGTAATTTATTAAAAAGTTTCTACGGTGAATACAGTCGAGCTCATCCAATGGAAAATATGCCGACCGATAATATCGTCCTTGATTGGAAATTTAACCAATTGGATGTCAACAAAGACGATAAAATACATAAGTTGGAATTCCGAGAGATGAGGCGATTGGTACGAAAGGTAAATTCGATTTTGGAAACTATAATTTAAAATTTGAATGAATACATTTATTCATGTAAATGCTATTGATTATTGGTATATTTTGGTATAGGCAGTAAAACCAAAACGATGTGCTCGTCTTTTTGGCAAACAGCTTAGCTGTGATTCTGATTTCGATGAAAAACTGTCGCGACAAGAATGGTTGAATTGCTTAACAAGGGAAAAGTACATTCGTGAGTAGACAATTTTGAATAAGTTCCATTATAGATACATCTAATCAGTCATTCACTATTAATATACAACCTTGCACATTTGCATATACTTTTATTCCGTTTTGTTTTCGTTTTCGAATTCAATACAGCGGATCACAATACCAGCGGACTACCAGGTGGCGATGATTATGAGGAAAGCGGAGAGGATGAATACGATGACGATGATGACGATGATGACCACACCAATGATCGTAAAACATTTCCATTTTTCACACCAGTTACACCATATCCACCCGTATACCGTACGTATGTTTTCATTTATCTTATGTGACATACTTATATCATTGTTCAGCTCTGTTTCTCTTTTCATCGCTTCATTTAATGATGTGTGGTGTTTACTTGTTTCGACTTATTTAAATGCGCATAATATTTTAATTTGTTTGTTTATTTAAATATAAAACAGTGCTTCGATCGAAAACAATTGTGGAAACTGATCCAGTATTACGCGAAGCCGACACTGAATCTGATTGCCTAACCGATCGAGCAGCTGCATTGGATGAACAAAAAGTATGCGCAACATTTTATTACTTCGTATTTTTAAGAACTCATTCATAAATCCGATATAAAAAAAATCCCACAGAATGGTGCTCAGGCGTACATACCCGAATGTACATCTGATGGACGTTATCAACGAATTCAATGCTATCGTTCGGTTGGGTACTGTTGGTGCGTTCACGAAGATACTGGCAAAAATATACCAGGCACATCCATTAAAGATGGTCGACCGGATTGTGCAATAAATGTTTCGAGGCCGATGAAAGGATGTCCAGAACCGCGAAAACTTGAATTTCTCAAAGAGCTCAAGGAGTTTTTGCGGTCTCAGGTTGCCACAGCCAATAGGTATGCATTTTTTTACTGTTATTTCACCTTTTATATTGAGTGTATCATAGGTAAAGTTTATTTTTATAACTTTCAGTGCCAATGCAACAAATTGGTCGAGCGAAGATGAAAGAGTGGCCACTTTGAGTTTTGTACTAATTGACAAAAATAAGAATAAAATTTGGGAACGAAAAGAATGGAAAATATTTCGAGAGCTTGTCACCGCTGCAAGGTTTGCATAAAATACTCTTTCTTCATGACCTAGATTTTAGTCACGGAATTTATTGTTTTTTCTCTCTGTTGAATTCCTTATTTTTGTATTTGTTTCTTCCTTCCAGTGTATTGAAAAAATGTGGCAAAAAAATGCCACGATATTGTGATGTAAATAATGATAAACGGATTACCTTATCTGAGTGGCTGAATTGTCTTCAGGTGCAAACGAATGTGCACAAATCAAAAACATCTGACACAAGTACGTGCACAAAATGAATAATTAAAACAGCATATTCATAAAAAAACACATTTCTCTTATTCAGATCAACAACGACCGACACAGAGCGCCTTGAAACTCAAAGGTCCCAACCCACTCGAGTCCTATTTGAAAAGTGATTGAAATAAATTATGGACAATAAATACATAGTCTTAATGTTTAAGTAATTTAATTTTTTTTCGCTATCAGAACAAGAATCATGAATTTTTTATGCCATATTATTTCTTTATTTTCACTATTGCATTTAAAGCGATACCAGTATTTATGTAACCATGAAAGTTGTCTTGAATGAGAGAGTATTAGGAGTTCGAAATGATAATTGAGCGAAAGAGCATAAAGTGTCATTTTTGCAAGGATGACAATTAAATGCAGTATGCATGATTTATAAACAAAATCAAACGAAATACAAGGGATTCAAAATTTATATGTAATTTTTTTAAAAGTTTAAGAAATTTTTTTTGTGTTGGCATTTATCAAATAATATCATATGTTTAGTTCATCCAGTGATTTCGATTTTCCGAAACTTGTGAATCATGTAAAAAGAAATACTCATTTCATTCAGCAATCGTAGTAGCAAATGTGACGATTTTTTGAATTGAATTGAGAAAGAGAAAAAGAAAAAAAAGAAGTAAAAATCTTAATACATTATAATAAAAACAAAAAAATGAAACTTATTTAATTTGGTTATAGTATTAAATTGATGCAGCAGCAGCAGCAGCACATCGAAAGACTCTATGTCCTAGATTTAAAATCGACTAACATCTTTTCTAAGAATTAAGCTTATAAACATCATTTGTTTGATTTACATATGCCAATTGTGCATGTTAGTTGGCCAAGTAAAAATGAAAAGTTCTGAAAAGCGAAAACATGCAAAAATAACGTTTTCAAATCACATGCAAATAATAATAAAGTGAAATAATCATACCATTGAACTTTGAAAACAAAAACAAGAAAAAAACAAAATTCGAAATTCCACAAAACCCAATTTCCAAAAGGAAAAAAAACAGACGTGAATGTGTCCTGTCTGAATGATAAGCATGCATAATTGCATCGATTTTTTTAAAATTTTGATTTTGGCATTCATTTTGCTTTCAACCATGAGTGGGTGGAGCAATGATTATGATTTTTAGCATAACACAGTTTCCTATTTAGGTTATTGAATTCTTTCTTTTCATTTGCTATTCTTGTTTTTTGTTTTTTGAATGATTGTGGTTGCACCAAAACGTTATTCCCAGTTTCAGGCATCAACTAAAACATTTCTAAACGAAGGGAATAGATTAATATGCTACACATAAGTTCGATCGTGCCTTCACAAATCCATGGCACACGGATCCATATTGGCGTAGGTTATTAAATTGAAAATGTTGGTAATCAATTATTGTATATCGATATCTCGATTTGCATGCAATGCGAAGTGTAGTTTACATGGTGCGGATGGTTCTTCGTGTTATTTTGGCTGGTTCCTTTTATGTTTATTTGGCGGTCGCATATATATTTCAATTATTAGCATTTTTGTTTGACGCTTTTTTCCCACTTTCCATTTCATTCAGCTTTCAGCTAATACTGCTTGCTATTCGCTTAATGTTGGCAAAACTTATTTTATCGATATAAATTCATTGAGAGAACGCGAGGTGAAGTGAAATGGAATTATTTATCGTCGTAGAATATGTATCAATTCAATCAAAATCGATTAAACTATCGTGTTTTGTGTGCTCTACTGCTGCTGCTGCTGTATGTGTTGTTTTCATGTAAATTCTGTTTTTTTTCTATTCGTTTCGGGGGTGATTGCGCGCTACGCCGAAAAACTTCTGTGTTATGACTTGAACTGTTTCAACCGAATTTTTTTTCGTTCAGTATCAAAACGTATGGGTTGGACAAAACATCATCATTGCAACAACTCAACGTCAGTGTTTCGAGAAAACACAATCCGAGTAAGTTTTTGCTTTTGTGCTTTCAAATAGCAAAGTGCCAATAGCACGCGATTTTTTAATACAAATACTAAACGAAAACATCAATCGCGAGAATTCGACATAGAAAATACAAAAACACAAAATGAAAACGATTTTTTTGAATGAACTTATTTTATTGATAGAGAAGTTTTTGTTTTGATTTATGTCGTTGAATTCTGGTCATTTGTTAGTTTAATTTTGCGCTCGTTTGTTTTTTCAGGCTATCAGAGACGATTGAATTTGGCTTTTGCATTGTTGTGGAAAACAAAAATGTCATGTGCACGGCCGCCAAATTTTCTTTTGCATAAACAAAAATCTCTGGTTTGTGAGTCAGTGTGTCACGAGCGGCGTCTTCGTTTACGCAAGCAATTCTCAGTTGATCAAAATCATGACATTTCGAATCATCGTTCTGTTCACGGACAGAATCAACCAAAAAATGGAAAGGTGATCAACAGCAATTCTTGGGGCTGCAATAATCCCGAGGCTAGCCTACGAATTGTTACAGCCATCAAAAATAAGACACAAAACCATGGAAGCGAACCAAATGAACAGTGCGTATATTTTAAGTTAGAAAGTTGTTATTCCTGCACACTTTGTTATGAGTTGGTTGAAAGGTATATATTGCTTATCAGAAGTGTGTAATGCCGGTATGATAATTATTCACTTACTGAGTGCTGTCATGCAATTAATACGTTGCATTCAACCTGATACAATAATAGCAATTTTCATTCAGGCGTGGTTGAAATTTTTTACTAGTAAATCCGTGAGAAAATCTTCCATGAACATTTTTCACACAACACGCACCATCGATTTATCTGTGCAAAAGCGTAAAATTTATTATTATTATTATTATGCAGAGTTATACATCGTTCTCTCACCAACGATGGTATATATGAATAAATCATTTTCATTAAATTCTTTTGAAAAAAATCAATTTTTTTTATCAGTTAAAGAAAATCATTTCGATATCAATAATATTAATATTATTTTTGCCACTATTGTTAATCTTCGTAGTTTTGAGGTTTCTCATTAAAACTTTATTAAAATGCAGTTTGTTACAATTTTGGAAATGTGTATTTCAACCGTATAATCGATGCCAACAAGCACTTTACATTTTTAACGACTTGGGAAAATGTGATGAAAGATGATTTTTTTATTTTTCTAAGAAAATATCCAATTAAATCTTTTTCATTATTTTAATGTCAATATTTTAAAAAAATTGTTGATGGAAGCAGAGTGCAAAAATGTCCGGATAACGATGTGTTGCCAAACAAGTCACGGAAAAAGAACGAAGAAAAAATCAACATAAATATTTTTTTGGCACAAAATGTACCCGAATTAGATTTAGGCAGTGATTCGGAGAGCGGAGTTAAAAAAATGGTATACGGACATTTAAATAAAATTAAAATTCCATCTAATAATATTTGTTTGAAATTAGAAAAATGTGAATGATCAGAGCGATCCAAAGCCAATATCAAATCGGTTGACTGTTGAAACGCGTCGAAGTCAGTTTCGCCAAAGAAATCTGTCACTGAGTGAGCCACGTCCGCGTTTAATGCGTGCAATGTCTGCACCAATTCGACCAATTCTACCGCCAGACGCACACGAAAAAGTAATTTCATCAAGTAATCAATCTCAAGGTGGTACCAAAAAGCGATTACGTCGAAAAAAAATCGCTCCAATTGAAATGAGTCCATTTAGTTTAAAAGTTGCACAACATACGCAACAGTATACCAGCAATGCAAGCAAACTGGTGTCACAACGATCATCATTTGATGAACGTCCCTCAACGGCTAAATCAATGAACAGCTATCGTTCACTAAAATCAGTCAAACCGCCAAAAACATCGACGTCGATTCAACCAAGGGCCAAATCAGCAATGAATGGATGTGAAATTATAACGCTAGTTTCGTTATTGAGCCCAGGTGCTAGTGATTCGGAAAAAGAAGACTATTCAATTAGCGCCAATGACAGTTCGGGCGAAAAGGTTATTCCATCTCTAAGAAAAATTGGAAAGTCGGGTAAAATACTATATACGATAAAATCAAAACAAATAATTCTTATTTAATTTTGTTGTTTCGTTGGTGGTTGCGTAGTTTCATTTCAGGACGATGATAGTTTCGGCGATGATGATCCAATTATCGATTTGCCGTCGGTATTACGAAGAGCATCTCTTGTGCCTAAAATTAGACTAAATCGTCCACCCACTGCACCACCTGGTTCAATATTTCACAAGTCTAATGCAATCAGGTACTTTTTATATTATCAGCTTACGTGCTCATTGCAATCAATGGGAAAAATTCATTTTTTTTTTTGGTTTGATGATAATTGGTGACAAACAAATTCAATGAATGGCAAATGACGTTTTTGCTTTGACGCTTCAAAAATAGAAACAATGCTCAATTGAATGGATACAATAAAAATTGGCTGGTTTTGAAGAGTGTATATTTTTTTTTGCAAAAATCAAGAAAATTCAATTCAATTTATAGTCATTTGCACGAAAGGCATATCGTTCAAGTGCATGGTGCCGAAATAATATAAAATCGCTTACGAGTGCCTAATCGCTGAAGTGCACGCATATAACGTTTAATTTATGTTTATTTTATCTCTGATATTTTGTTTATCTACTGAATTGAAATTGAAATTGGCTCTTGAAGTGAATCGACTGCTTGCTTTGGTTTAATTCATTGATTTGCATAACGGAATGTGCGTCGTTTCTATTTTTCAGTGAAATCGGCATGAGTGGTGACAACAACAAAGTGACTGTTGGTGAAACTGGCGATTCAATTGAAAATCCAATTTCTCAACTCGGTCAAAGCGGTGGCGAAATCTCCAAAATACCCATTAACATTGTGAATGCAACGGTACCAATGCGAAAATCATCAATTGATATATTTGATCCAAGTACCGTTTATCCAGAATATGTACGCAGTATCAAAGAGAAAGAGTGCTGGTTACTCTTTCAAAAAATGGCTAAAAAAGGAATAACCGTGAGCTATGAAACTATTTTACGTGGAATGCTGCCACCGAACGAGGTACGGGCCGTCGAGAAAAAGCAAAAAGAAATTTTCGAACGGCAAGCCAGCATTGAGTTAGAAGCAGCCACATCTACCGAATGTGATATTAGTAAAAAAGTAAATTGAAAATTAAATTGTTTAATTTGTTTATTGTTGAATAAAGACATTGTTAAATTCATATGGATTATTTGCGATTTTAACGTTCGCATTGATCATTTAGTTTCCATAGAAAACAACAGATATTCTTGTTCATTTCGCCAAGAAATTATTCAAATAAAAATGATTTTTTGTGCAAATTTAATTCTTTATGTGTGTTTTTTTGTAAATTTGCCTTTCGCCATTCACAATAGCATTTTTATTTCAACCCTCAAATAACAATATCATTTAATTTGAACAAATAACATGAAGTTGGCTGCAAATGCCCATACTTCCAATGAAATGAGCGACTATGACGTTTCTTATTTGTCAACACATAGTAAGAGAACAAAAACAGACCAAATTTCTTGAATAAAATTCAATTTAATAACATTAATTCACAACTAAAACGATTTACAAATATTTTATTTAGGGACTACATTCAATAACATAAAAATCAAAAGTTCGCCGAAACGCCGCTAGCATAGAATTAAAAAATATGTGTTTTTGCAGAAAAAAATAGGAATTCAATTTGATAGGGTCAGGTAGACAAATAACAATGAGATATTGTTTTGGAATAATAATTTTGATTTTGTTGAATGAATTGTTTGAGATCGTGGCCGTAGAAATAAATTGTAGTACATTGCGAATGGGTCAATATATGTGCCCGGATCCAAATATAAATCATATCGATCCAAAGACACAGCAACCAATTGGTTGTACGAAAAATAATGTCGCCAAAGTGTGGTGTATAGCTGCCGAAGGTCTTATTTGTAGCGAAACTAAGAATACAAGTTTCAAAGGTGAAATTCCATGCCGATGGACGTGAGTATTAAAAAAACTGATACATTCATACATGTATGACATGTAGCAAAGTTAATGATTTTTTTTTTATTTCTTATTTTATTGCACACAGAAATGGATACCATTTTGACACAGCATTACTTTTATCAATATTTCTGGGGATGTTTGGTATCGATCGTTTCTATTTGGGCTATCCAGCGATTGGTTTACTAAAGTTTTGTACATTTGGTTTCATGTTTTTGGGCCAACTGGTCGATGTGATTCTGATAGCGACTCAACGCATTGGACCTGCCGATGGTTCTGCATACATAATATCATATTACGGGCCTGTTTTATCTGTGATACGTAGCGACAATACGACCTATTTAAGGCCACAAAGCGATTGGTGAGATAAATAGTACAACATTATTGTCCGTGCACCAACGATGACGATAAATGTGCGACACGAACTCAATTCAATTCAACGCTAAAAGTTCTTGTAGACTGTACCTGCCTTGACTGTGTGCAGTCAACCTTTCCAAAATATAGACTACAGCTCTTCTGTTCTGAATGAATAAATAAAAAATAAAGTTTTTAACTTTTAGTTGTAGAAACGATCAAAAATGAATTTTTATTACACATGTATTTATTTAATTTTCCATTATTATTATTATTCAAATCTTACAAATAAAAAATTATATTCCGTTGTCTTTTAATTTTTTTTCTGGTTTTTTTTTTCTTCTTCTTTTGTTTTGGTTTGTTTGTTATTTGGAAACTCCAATCATACAGCAAATCCTTATAAATTACTGTTGCGATCGTTCTTCTTTATAGAAGTTTCTTTTTACTTTGAAAACGTATTTACAGTACATTTTTTTACATTTCATAGATTACTAGATTTATAGATGAGTCTATGTAGAATTTATTATTTTGATTCGATGGATTTTCCTATTTCAGATTTTTGGATTTTCTTCAATTTTGTTGGAATAATGTTTTCGCGATTCATTTGTATTAATAGATTTTGATATATTTGGAATGAATAAATAGTGCTTGTGCCATAAATACCATACTTCACTGTATTTATATCTAGGGGCTTAATTCAAAATTTTCAACGACTGAATTCTATAATAATATCCAAATTAACTGAATTTTTCTGCAAACGAATGAATTCCGGTGAATTCTACGGCGATTTCATTCAAATATGTGAGATATTGGTGAATAGTTTCTGCTGGCAATTACTGCAATATTTATATTTTGTGTGAAAAATTGCAAATGTTTTTTATATTTTTTTAATAAAAATTAATTGTATTTTCAATTTTGAGCGATTTTCTATCGAAAACAATCGGAAATATTGAAATATTAATAAAATAAAAAATATTACGGTTATCATAACCTCACTTTATTACTTTGACACATTTCATTCTATTCACACGAATTCACCGAACTCATCAATAACTACTCGATTCAAAAGTGTGAATTTACGTGAATTCCTGTGAATTTTTTTGCCGTATTAAGCCCCTAGATTTATATACAGGACTACATCTTGTACATTTTCAATTCTTAAAACGATATTGTTCATGCCGACATTCGTGATGATCGTGCAAAATTCGGCTAAATTTATAGATTAGAATAAATTAAAACATAAATACGCAAAGAGCTTATCATCGAGCGTCCCTGTGACTATTTTACTAACCGATACAAAAATCTATCCATAAGGGGGCAGTAAAATACTTTGCAGTAGAATCTATTATGCACGAATCAATAATAAAAAGATAATAATTATTTATACATTTTTCATCGATTCGTGTTCAGGGGATCCTGAAATCAAGATCTGAGCCCTCTGCCATCAAATTTTCGGAAAAAACACACTATACACTTTTCCCCCCGCTAAAAATAACGTAAACTGCGGCGCAATAACTGAATGACGGCGACGTAATATCAGAGTATCCTGATTTGCTGCTGCTCAGCATATAGCTGAGAGCTGAGAAATGCTGAGCTCGTGCGGCTAACGCATACGAAACGGATGCACGATACATATTCCCCTTTCGCTTCGTATGTGCTGCCGTTGACGCTATTGCCGGTACAATGGTTACACACTATACCAGCGAACATACGAAGTGAAAGGGGAATATGTATCGTGCATCCGTTTCGTATGCGTTAGACGTACACTTTCAGAATATATGAAAGACTGAGAGCAAAAACAGCACGTCGCATCTCATCTCTTGCTTTCACTTACGTAAGCAAAATAACGAGGGATGCGACGTGATGTTTTTCTCGCAGCTTCTCATATGTCGGTCGCAACACAATTTCAAACTCAACTGGTTACTAAGTTTTGAGTTTTGAATTGAACGTCCAATCAACTGTTTATAACCGTTTAAACGGGGAGAATGCATGTGTGCGTGCCATCCGCTTCGTATGCGTTAGCCGCACGAGTTCAGCATTTCTCAGCTCTCAGCTATATGCTGAGCAGCAGCAAATCAAGATGCTCTGCGTAATATTTTAAAAAATAGTGTAGTTTTGTTATATATTGGGTGTCTTCAAAACAAACATCAGACACAGCATTTACAAATACATTGGCTGGTCAAGCACGGAATTTTTGTTTCTCTATTGCACTCTTTTTTGATCTGTTGATGACTGCACTAAATTACAGAATTATGAATAGAAGTATCACAATAAATAAAATGAGTGAAAGTACTCCTATGGCAATCCATTGACGCTTATCTGAAAGAGAATAAAAAACAGATTAAAAACACAAGAATTATCAGTTGAATCAATGAAATTGAAAAAAAAAAACGTAAAACTAGGTAGGTCTTTGCATGCACGATCATGATTGAGCCCATGGGATTGAAATTACCGTTATTCATGTGTAACACTTTCGCCATTTTCTTCATAGTTGAATCCATTTTCGATTCAGTGTTCTCAAGTTCATTGCCAAAATCATCAAGCATACTGCAATTGAAGGAAAATAAAAATAAAATGTCATAAAGAATAGCATAAGAACAATAAAAAATAAAATCATGTTAAGTGGGGCGAATGAATATTGTTTTGCTTACACCGCTTGTTCGTCAAGTTCAAGATTGATTTGTCGCGAAACGGTTTTCAGTGTGCCAATCGAATCGCTTATCACATCAAGTTGTTCGTCTTGCCCCTGTAGCATGCGCTGCTGCACAGACACGCTTTCACCTAAAAATCGATGTGATGGACTATCCAATGCCGATGTTCCATAATGTCCTGGACTATCCAGGGAATTCTCCAGTTTGGAATATTTGGTTCCGCTGTGTCTTGCCATTGTGCCGACAATAGTTGTCTAAATCACCATGAGAGAATCAAGAAAACAAGAAAATGTACATGATATATTGAGATCATCGAGCGCAAAAATGGATTGAAGATAATGAAAGTGATTGTAGCAATGTAAGTGTTTCTATAACAATAACAGTCACTTCTATTGTTTTCAATCGATTTCAGCGCCTGTCGTTAGCTTCCTGAGCTGAATCAGTTGCCTGAACATGTAAATATGTTGAAGATACCGTAAAACCAGATGCCGAATTTGTGTTGCAGGATGTGATATTATTGTTGATACAATTATTTGCAATCAAATTATTGCAATTATCGTTGAACGCGTTGCCACCAAGAATTTGACTATTGTTATCGAGTAACGGTTGATTTGCTGTAATATCTTTGTCCCGATTTCGATTGAGGCTCATCTTCTCCTTCATCGACTTGACCTCATCTCGAGTGGCATCGATGAAATACCGTCGGCTATTCAATTCTTTCTGGTCAATTTTAAATTTGCTGAGATTTTTCTCAACGATAGGTATATATGTGGTTAAGAAAAATCAATAGATTGTTTTGTTTTAAATAAACTAAATGTAAAAATAAAATATATGTTATGATTTTGAAAAGGATATTAATTGTATCTTCTAAGTCCTCTAAGTCCCATTCGATGCTTCTTAATGAATTTCTCAATTCGGTTGTGGTCCATTCGGTTTCGGCGCCACCAGCGTTACCCAAATCCCGCCAACGCAGGTACAATCCTCGTGTTTTGTTCAATGCCTTGAATACTTCACTGCAAAAAAAAAAACAGTGCAAAATAAAATGTATCTATTAAATAATACCATATGTATTGAGTTCATCGAATTAATTTAATACTAAAGTATCAATGTTGTAGCAATATGTCAAGCAAGGAATTATAAATGAAAATTCGATTATGAAAAACTAAATAACAAAGAAAAAAATATTTGTTTTAAATTATATTTGTTGTGGCAGCGTACTGACATCCGTTGTTTTTTTCTGATTTAATTTGAAATGGCACGCATATGCGTATTATAAATAACATGAATACTTACTCTTTCACAACAAAAAATGGATCTTCTAAAGACATTTCCGGAAACAATAAATAAATACGCAATGCGCAAACGATATTATACTAGCGAAATATCAATCTGTCTTTTTGTTCGGTAAATAGTCAGCTTTTTTTTCGGACGAATATTGTCAATTTGATATAATCAATAGTCAAAAAATTGCACACATAGTTTACTTGGCTTGGTGATACGAAAAATGGATTCCAAGCGTTTTTGTGTCAATGCGTAAATATTAATGGAATCTAAGTGTTCATTCTTATCGCTTGGGTTATGTTTTCGTTAGAAACAACCACTGGACAATTCTTTTTTCGTAATCGATGTGTCATGTAATGAAATGAAGAAAAGCCACTAATATTTAATGATAAAAAATGAATGGCTATCAATCAATCGTGAAATGTTTGTGATGATATCTGGAGTAAAATGGAATTTCCCATTGTAAAGTGTGTTGCTTTCACTTTTCGCTTCAATTATGTTGACTTGAGCAGCAAATAAAACAATCAAAACAATGCACAAAATGTTTTGCAATTATTTTCCCGTTTTTGGTTTGCTATTTATTAGCATTTAAATAAACCGAAAATTGAAAAACCTCTGTATATTTAATGAATGAGCTGATAAGCAGCATCAAAAAGTAACAATGATTTTCACGTTATTGACTTGGCCGATTAAAAGCTAAATAAATCAATTGAATTGTGATGGAAGTCAATGTAGTAGCCCGAGTAGTCGCTCACACACCATAATTCTCCTCGCACACATTAAATGAATGAGTCGAAACTTACCGTCGTCGCTATATATTGATCTGCAACATTGGCATTCCACAGGAAATTTCATATGGAAAATTCACACACAGCGCGTTTTTCTTCTCCTTTTCCCTGTTCTTGTTATTAGTTTTGTCCTTTACAATTCTATACCAGTATCTCTCTTTTGTATACATACAAACTTTTATGTTTAGATGTTTGTGTGTATGTTTCTGACAGATTCTATCTCTTTCTGTATCAATGAATGTGGAGCGGCGGCAAATTGTGGTGCGAGCGAAACAAATATACGATTGCCGCCACAAAATTAGTCACCCACACGTATTTACGACGAATCGAGAACACACAGAAAATACAAAACGACAACAACAACAATAGCGCGGTGGTAACAACCGACAGAACAAGGGTAAGTTACACCTGCGTACTGAAATGCCAAAATTTTCATGCATCATTGTTGACAGCTGACTATGACTTTGCATTGCCATTGATGCGTCACATACATAAAACATATGCGATTGACGTCAACCCCCTCTGTGGCAAGACAGTCGAATTGTCATCCTATTATTTGAATTTTGAGTGCCATCAAAAAATGCAATGTATGTTATTTTAAATATTACTCTACACTGCGAAAGGCTGTAACAAATAGAGACAATTTTTTGGGAATATTTTAAAATAATATATTTTTTAAAACTTTGTTCGATAGTTTTATTTCGATAATATCGAAGGTTCAACAACACTTATATAAAATCCAAAGCAAAACAAAAAAACAATAACATGCGTTCATAAAACCTCTTAAAACGTGTTCTCTAATCATTTGTTCGACGTTTTTTGACTGATAAAACATTTCTTCGTTGAAATATTATTATTTTCTTCATAGATTGTTCACATTTATTTTATAATTTTCGCATTTTTATGAATTGTATATATTTGCACAAAAGTTTTGAACGGAATAGACCATACATTGATACATTAAATGTACATTTCCAAATGAAAAACTTACTCTAAATTATATTTACATTCGATTATCTGTTTTCTAGTGTCTGCTGCAGCTATGACAGCAGCTTGTTCTGCCATTTTTACTGCATAGTACATGCCAATAACACCAATATCATTCGGGCAAACCATTAATTGCAATGTCAGATGTTGTCTCGACCTATGAATTTTATTTAATTCCATGGATGTTTGTAAGTCCTTAATTAATTTGCCAGTGTGGACACTGCGAAATGAATTTTCACTCATGCTTCGTAAGCTTCGATCGATAAACGTAATCAGTCCAAGTTGATCGGTCTGAATGCACCATTTTTCAAAGGAATATTTTGAAATTGGTTCCATTTCTTTCAAGACGGCATACAGTTTTGCATGGCGCAATGCTTGCCGGCGCTCAACACTTCCTTGCAAATTCCTATAGACAATACATTGTGTATAAATATAGAACATTTTTTAATATACAAAAATTGGAAGTAACTCATGCAGCTTTCAAGAACTTACAATTTATGATCCGGACCAAAATAGACGGAATATCCCGATTTGGCATCAAGTTTACGCGGATGATGATATCCACTTATAAACACACACACATATCCATCAAATCGCTGCAAAAATTCGTGTTCACCATACTTAACGTGTTTATAAGTGGAGATGACTGTAAATAATTTTCAACTATTAGTTGTCTGACACAATCGATATGTCGATATGGCTGGAGATTGCGTCTTCGAAGACCCAATTTTGGTTTCTAAGATCGCAAAAATAATAATCATAACAACCGAATTACTGTTACTGGCACAATAGTTAATACATACTTAATCATTGTCTCCATCGTTGGATTCACGACTGCAAGGCAGCTTTTTTATTCGGGCTTATGCTTAGCACCGGTCTATGATTTATTGTTTGGATTTTCGGGAGCGCAGACCTAAAAATAAAAAAAAATGATTTTTTATGTATAACTTAATAAAATTTTCACTCGAGAATATACTGAATATTTAATTGATTACAATTTATTCAGCGTTGAAAACAATCGTCTACAAACATTCATGTTCATTTTTATTTTAAATTAAATAGAATTCAGAATATCACGATGTTTTTTTATTACAATGATCTTCATGTGAGTTTGAATTGATGTGTCATTTGTGAGGTTATGTTCAGTGGTGTTTAAATGACAAAGCTTTGACATATATGCACAGTGCACACAGTCAATTCAAAAAAAAAATGATTCGTTACATATCGCTGACTAGCATTTTGATTTATTTCAACAAAGTTTTGTTTTTTTTTTAATAGATTAATAGATTTACTGAAACTCATATACCTACCATAGAAAATATTTGCTCCATTTGTTATCATTATCAAATCGAAAAGTCTCTATTTTCACGATAGTATCGTGATGTAATATTCTCTGATCTAGGTGAATTTACATGAATGAATATTTTAATATGATATTTAATTAAAATTATGTTTTCATATCAAAAATATTGTCTATTAAGGCATAAATGGAACAAATGGCACGTCAAAAGATGAGGATAAAAACACTCTTGTATCAGTCGAGCCCAATCCAACAGGAGAAAACGCAGAAAGTGACGCTAAAGTCAGTTTCTTATACGTATTATGTCGTCCCCAATACGCGCACAACAAAGATCAATGATTTTGTTAATTTCTTTGTTTTTCAATTAATGTGTTCAACTGTTCAATGCTTCTTTCAGAATAATCATATCGTTTTCACTCTTGTCGACAACGTGAAGCAAATTGTTTAGTTCAGTTTCATACTTTGTAAAATTGCAATCTTGATCCACGAATCATATTTACACGACATTTTTTAAATATTCTCCGACTTGTTTTCGAACCAATTCGTAATTTTTAATTCCCAGCTCTTCGCCAGAAAAAAGGCATCTTATTCTAGATCTTATTTGATTCGTTGGCACAATAGCTCCTAAACATTGATGAAACGATGAAAAAAAATCGTGTAAAAATATTGTCAATAGTTTTTGGAGTTAAAATACTCATTTACCTTTCAATTGAACGACTGAATTTGATAATCTGCATCCAAGTCTACTCACACGTTACATGTTTCCTGAAAACATTTGAATGATAAACTATATAAGTATTTTACTCGTATGATGCAAACTATAAACAAAATATTGGCTTAAAGATTGTTTGTTTTAATATGGACACAAAATTAGCCGTTTTTTTGTTATTAATTCTTTTGCAAAAAATGAGCCGATATCGTCACAACCGTATTTATCTCGAAAGCGGACAATTTCTTTGCTATTCATCAAAGAATTTACAATACAATTATATCCCGAATGAAATGGTATTTTGTTTTTGTTCTACTTATAAGTATACTGTTTGATAAATTTATTTTATAAATCAACTTAAAGGCATTTCGATACCACTTACAAGCAAAACAATTACATCCGGAACTTTGTCCCATTGATAATATAAATTCAAACGTCAAATGTTTGGTTATGTTTTCCTAACTCTTATCATTGTGTTGTTTGACGTGCAGTTTTGACATTTGTAGATTTTGACAGTTGTGATATTTCTCACATCGTGCCATTACGCAACAAATAGTTTTATTAAGAAATTCTCTAAGAATATTTTCTATAAAAAGATATTAACAATGAATTATTTACGCTATACATCAATAGTTTTGCAACGAGCAGTGCAAAAACAGGGTAAGTTATTTAATTAAATATAAAAATGTTGTATTTTTTCAATAATTTTTAATTTTATAGGGATGATCGGATCGGTGAGAACTTTGTTTTCAAAAAGATTCATAGGAATCAAAGATTATGAAATATCACGATCGACACAGTTACCGTTTGATTCAACGACTGCGGAAATAGAAATGGATGCCGGAAAAGCGGAGATTATGAAGAAATGGTGTCATACAATGGAGAAAGAAGAGCTTGTAGAAAATTTTCCTCAAATGACAATGCGTCTACATATCATCCATAACGATCCAGCACAAATGAAGGCCTTCAGTTTTGGGCCTTTGGTGATGCGAATGTTTCATTACCATAATTTGCCGTACCAAGCATTGAAGGTAAATTCTTTTGCTGGATGTATATTGCTTGATGTATAATCAAGCTTTAGAATCGTTTTCGGTTTGTTTGTACCACGCATAACTCAAGTAAGGTATCAGCTATCAACTTGAAACCTATTTTTTCAGATTCCTGAGCCCAATCCACGAAAACGATATTTTTCTTTTTGGAAAATTCGTCCAGGAAAATTATTTTTCTTGTAAATGAGGTTTTTCCTAAGAATTTGTATGGGAACTTCAAGACAACTTGATTTTTACGTTGTAACTCGAGTTCAAATCCTACGATTTTGATTAATATCGCTCAGTTTGTAGGTCTTCAGATGCCCTTTCGAAAAAACACAGACAGAATACTCGATCGACCTTGTGAATAGTAGCTCTAGTACAGCGAACTATCACATTTTTGTGTATTTTGACGAAAGTCGATATGGTTCGAATTCAAATCATAAAATTTTGATTAGATTGGTTCATTTTTCTGCGGATCCTTCTGGGGCTTCGAAATATTTTTTGAATTACACTCGTTTATGCATCGATACATCAAGCATTACTTCCAAGTACTTTGGCAGTGTATTTTTATACTTCTCAATTTGAAAATTAATCTAATTTGAATAAATGTCTTTATAGATGTTCAACGATCAACAAATACCACTAATGTTTGATAATGTAATGTCGAGATTAGTTTTGATGATGAAATGTATGATGATGTGTTACACATTTTTAAAATGCAGCATGAAAAACAAGAAAAACTAAACAGAGGAAGTGCGCCTACATTGAACTGTCTTGCGTTTGCTGCATGCTATAAGTTGGTAAGATTTCAAAGAAAGATAAATAACGAGATACGAGAAAAAATACTTAGACAAAAATATAATTTTATTGATTACAGAATACTGAAGCGCAGTTAGAATATGGCCTGCAATTATGGAATAAATTGCACAAAGAGAAACAACTATTTCAAAGTGGATCTCTTTTAGGTATGTTGGCCATAAATATGGGTCAACCGAATATTGCGTTAGAGATTTTGAAATCATGCTGTTTATTCTTAAATGTTTATTCGGCTCATTGCACTAGCCGATTGTGGCCATTTCACTACTTGAAGAAACTAAAAAATATTTTCCCAATACTTTTATATACGCTAGCGTGGTGGGTATTTCCATAGGCACACATTCACTCGCTTCCATTCCATTCACTTTGGTTGATTTCAAATATTTGTCTGTAATTCATTTTCAGGTTGAAAGGATTGGAGTCAGTTTGGCGAAGTACCCAACGACGCAAGAAAAAAGTAATTTTTCAAAATTATTGGATACCATTCGACTTGCTAAACGGAAATATGTAATATTAGTGGAATTCTTTTAATTAAAAATATATTTAATTTTTTACATTTTATATACATTTTCAGAGCATAGATCAAATACTTTGCCTTCCTATTGATCCAAGCAGAAAGTCAGGAGCTCACGCTCTAAACTATAAAAAAAATCGTTGAACCAGAATAGAATAATTGAGCATTAGAATTATTATCTGAAAATAAAAAAGTAATAATGAGCGGATTAATTTGTTTCCATTTTATTTAAGAAGTTCTTTCCTTCCAGTTTTTCGAATCGACAAAAAGCGTTAATATTTCCGATATTTGGGTCACATTTACTTTGGTACCAATTTGTGGTGGATCACACAGTAAATCTTAACAACAAACAATCGACCTCCATTTGGTGAGGCCAAGAACCATTCACGTTCGCTATTTAGAAGAAAGAAAACACCCATTTGATGATATTTGGTTTAGTTTGTTTTGTTTTGCAAAATACAGACAATATGAAAAAAAAAGAAAAGAGAAAAATGTCTTCTGAAGATAATTTGCAAAGTGACGCAAACCGTGCAAAACGATGGGTATGGGTTGAATACTTCTATCCAGATCCAGTTTCTTATACGTATTATACCGTCCCCAATATATGTAATCGTTTAAGATCAATGATTTTGTTAATTTCTTCAAACTATAATCATAAAAGTGCAGTTATTGCTTAATGTGAAACGTAGTCTTATACATTAAGCTATGGAATAGTAAGATATATATATATATATATGTTTGTTCAGTGATTTTAGAGAAAACCAGAAAAGATAGAGAGTTCGGGTTTTCGGTATTCGATAGGGCATGAAAAACCCTCCAGACGTATTTTTTATTTTCCCCATAAGTGCTACCCATTTAATTTTTTCATTCATGGACCCTCTTTCTGGATTCCACTTTGAAAAATATTTCGATTCCACTCACCATTTATTGAGTGGATAACGAATGGATTCGGGTGGAATAACGTTTTTCTGCAACTTTATTGGGTGGATAAAAGATGGAATAAATGAGTTTTTCTCTAGTGTTAATTTGATAACTTTGGATTTAGATGAAACTTGTTGAAAAAAGTTGGAGACACCCGAGGTACCAAATTGTTTTAGATTCCTTATAAAATTACCTTTCGAATGGTATATAAATTATGGAGTTTCCGGCAGGTTTGATGGCGTTTTACGCTGGCCGTTTGGCCGAAATATGAAAAATTGAGAGAAAAATCGGCTTCCGAATCTTATTGCGCGCAACCTAGTTCTATGGTTTTGATGAAACTTTGCCAGACGATAGCTCTTGAAGCCCTCTTTCCAACGGCATATAGCTTATTAGCCAATCGAACTTGTGGATGTGTTTCCCAGGTGGCCATAGATTGACGCTAGTGATATATCAATGATACTATTGATAGTTCGATATGAATAGCGTGCTATTGGTACATTTTAATATTGTGACAAAAACAATTTTTCTCTTCAATATTTTTCCTTCAAAAATAGACATCTAAAGTATCAATATAGAGCTCCATATTTAATTTTATGTAATTTGTCAAAATATTTTGCAAATTCAACTTTCAAGGGAAAATTTATTGCGGTAAAAATAACATTTTACCATGTGAAAAAATTCCTTCATGTTAGAATGGCATTTTCCTCTGATTACTTTTAATTTTAACATCTGAGTTTTCTGAGAGTAGTCTTTTGGAGTTTACTGCCTATTTGAAGCTCAACTCCATAGGTGGCAATATAGCCAAAATGAGAAAAATATAGGTAAAGTACATTTTCGAGCTTCATTGCAAGCAACCTAGTTCTATGATTTTGATTAAATTTCGCCAGATGATAGCTCCCAAAGTCCTCTTGCTAACGCTATATAGCTTATTAGCCAATCAAATTTGTGAAGAGTTTTAGAATTTCAATTTAACTATGGCATTGACAAAAACCTTAGAGAAAAACGAAATCCATGTGATGCATTTATTAGGTAGTTCTGGACGTTCTCATTTCAGTAATTGAATTGAACGATTTCATCATTTATGGATCATCAGCGCAGCTTCTGAGAAAGCCATCTATCTAATTTATAGGATTTACCAACTTTTTGAAGTGGGAGCCCATAGGTAGTCGTTGAGGCAATATGAGCCAAATATTTGTAAAATCAATTTTCAAGGTGTAATTTATTTAAAAAAAAATTGTGGCAAAAAATTCAAAATATGAATGTCGAGTAGTTTGTTTTTCTTAGTAGTACGGTTCCACGTTTCACATTAAGCTCTACGGCCAAAAACTGGCAGTGTATTATGAATATTCGGCAAATAAAAAAATATATCCTTTTATAAAAGACTAAAAAATTGCTTTTGTCATTTCATGCAACATTTACCACCTTATATGCAAAATACAAATAATTGTATTCATCTAAAAATAGTAAGTCTTCATTTATGGAAAATTGGTTAGGAAATAAAACATCTCTTCGTAGGAATATTTTAAATTCGCAAAAATTGTTTTTCTATGCGTTTTGGGTCTATAGAAACACAGTACAACGGTTTTTTGGCCATGTTAATGTGGGGATGTGGTACACATACTGTACGCTGTAAAATTTTGACCTTTTTGTTAGCACGATAACTCTTCTTAGAGAAAAGCAAATCCAAATCTGATTTCACAGGGTAGTTTGGGGTAAAAATTTGTTAACTCGATAAATCTTTCCCCAGAGTCGTAAATCAAAGTTTGGAATGTGTAATAGGGGTTTTTCTGGTACTGGAAAAAGAATTCCGGACTTAGTTTGAAGCAATCAATTTTTGATACAGTTTCTATGAAAAATCACAAAAAATTGAATTTTCGTATGAAAGCCATGCCTGTATGATATTGTAATGACGGGAAACTTTTCACAGGCTATTTTTCACTCATAAAAATAACATTATGAAAGTTTAAAGAAATTTCAAATCAAATTGGGATTGAGCTAGGGGCTTAATACGGCAAAAAAAATTCACAGGAATTCACGTAAATTCACAATTTTGAATCGAGTGGTTATTGATGAGTTCGGTGAATTCGTGTGAATAGAATGAAATGTGTCAAATTAATAAAGTGAGGTTATGATAACCGCAATATTTTTTAATTTATTATTTTTTAAATATTTTAAATATTTCCGATTGTTCTCGATAGAAAATCGCTCAAAATTGAAAATAAAATTAATTTTTATTAAAAAAAATATAAAAAACATTTACAATTTTGTTACACAAAATATAAATATTGCAGTAATTGCCAGCAGAAACTATTCACCACTATCTCACATATTTGAGTGAAATCGCCGTAGAATTCACCGGAATTCATTCGTTTGCAGAAAAATTCAGTTAATTTAGATATTATTATAGAATTCAGTCGTTGAAAATTTTGAATTAAGCCCCTAGGGATTGAGCCAAAAATTGAAAATTTTACATGGGAGGTACCCTTATTTCTAATTGAAAGTTCTTCAAACTCTCAGAATTTCATTTCTTTGTAAAAAAATGGCCTTCGCAAAGTTTTAAGTCATTGCGATATCATGCAGTCATTGCATCCATACAAAAATGCACATTTTTGGTAATTTCACCTTTCCACACACACGCACACACAAACCACATATTTTGAATTATACACAGGGTGTCTCATATAAGTGGGCCACTACTGAGGGTATAAATTTCGTTTTTTTCTTTTGTTGGACCAATGTTGGTATAGTTTTCAAAAATCTACTCCGATAGAAATTCGTAGAAATTTATTTCCCAAATTTCTAACGGAGCAGATTTTTTAAAAAATACATAAAAAGTAACAACATTAGATCCACAAATCGAATGTTTCCAAGCTCAAAGAAAACGTCGATTTAAATCAAAGGATAGAATTTAAGTTCATTTTGCTCGTTAACGTGTGTACAAATGAAAACGAAGTTCTTTTTTGTAATATATAAATCTACACTGTTTCCCATTATTTTAACTTATTTAGAACTCATTTTATTTCAATAGTTTTTTTCAAGTTCTTAACGATTAAATTGTATTCACTAATCGACAGCAAAAAAAAAAAATAATTAAAAAAATTAATAATATAAATAATTGTGAAATGTTCAAAATGCAATGTGCTCTTACAGCACCTCTCTAAATTCTTTGAAAAAAATAAATTTTTTCCCAAATTGAATTTCACCCATCGAGGGAAAATGAAATGAAAAAAAAAACAGGGTCGAATGCTCACAGTAGAAATGTGATTTCAATGTATAGTTTGATGTGGTGTGTTACAGTTTGTTTATATTCAAATGCGACCGTTGTTCGGCTGATTCGTCCACTCGAAAGCAGTATTATCTTCTGTATAGATCTGTTCTTCTGCTAATGATCAATATCTACATAGATTTGCAATGCGTCAAATTTGAATACTTTATTTATTTGAATTTTTAAAACATAAGTGCTCAAATACCGGGTCAAAGCAAACAATATATTAGACAATTGATTTGTTTACAGCTCAAAAATTATATTCGGCAATTATTGAAAAATGTAACATCCGCAAGGGTAAAGAACAAAAAATATATATAATAATTACAATTATAATAAACTATTGTATTTAAATCTTATGGGCTAACGAGATGTATGTAGTTGTTTTTCATTGCAACAACTAATTTTTAATCAGCTTGCATTTTATTTCCCAACGGCTACTGTAGTGTCTGTTATGTGATCAGCGACATCATGACCGTGTGAATGACGATCCCACATCCGTGAGAATAACAACTCCAATCCGTTTGCGTATTCTTTGCAATCAAATAATGGGCTATCAGCACGTGCTTTCCACACTTTGTGACGCATGCTTCGCAAATATTCTCGATCATTTCCCAAGCGAATGGCAATTTGCTCATACTCTTGACGGCTTCGGGCAATCAGTTCTGGGCAACCAAGCGTGTTGAGTTGTGATGCAGCGACTCTGTTTTAAAAAAAGAAATTAGATACATTTAATAAACATTGGCGGTAGAAAAACGACCAAATGTAAAGAAAAAGAAACATACCGTGAAGCAAGTGTTTCACCGGGTAATGTTACAACTGGGGTTCCGGTCCATAGTACATCCATCGATGTTGTGTGACCATTACATAATGGTGTATCCAAACAAACATCGGCCAACTGACCACGACGAACGTGCTCTTCCTTTGCAGCAACATTGGAAAAGATTATACGACCACCTGGTAAGCCTGCAATTAAAATTTTGAAGAACAATGATATGGAGTTATTCAACGATTTAAAAATCGCTCATATAAAACTAACCCAAATTTTGTGCAGTTTGTTGCAGATTTGGTTCACCAACGGCTGGAAAACGAAGCAACCATAGAACGGAGTTTGGAACACATTTCAAAATATTCACCCATGATTCCAAAGTTAATGGATCAATTTTATACAATTGATTGAAGTTACAATAGATAATAGCACTGTCTGGCAATCCATACTGCTGTCTGGTGGTTATTACAATATTTTGTGGTACTTCTTCACCAGTGGCTGCCTTATTATTTATTTGTGTGGTGGTCAATCCATTCTGTAGTACGACACCATTGACTGACGTTTGAATTTGATGGTTTGCAATCATTGTTTCGATCGGTGTTGTTGTTGGCAATTCAGCCACTTTCATCGACACCTCAACCGTTTTCTGTGAAATAATCACTTCACGAATCTCTTTAACATCAGTGCTCTCAACGAGTGGCGATAAATCGGTCGCATTGATAACAGCTACATTGTCCGCTAAATTTCCATTGCCGCTTTTATCGCTAACAACAAGTCGCTCTTTGAGATGCGGAAACATTTGTTTGTGGTCACCGATAAAGTATGTGTATGGCATGTATGCCAATTTTTCACTGTATTGATCCTGTTTGAAAATAAAAATAAATTATAATTTTCACATTTCATCACTAACAATCATAGGTGGATAATTTTATTATAAGTTACCTGTAATTCGAGTGGTGAAGTAATTGCATCAGTTATGATGTAGTCCATATAGCTTGCACCGCTTGTTCCTGGATAACCAAGCCACATAACCTGAATTGGTGCTGGACGCAATGCGAATATTTCGTTGCGAGCACCCTTTGTATAACCATTCATATTAACAAGAACATGAATACCGTCGGCATAAATACGATCAGCGGCTTTTCCATTACATGGAATCTGTGATAAGTCAATGAAATGTTCGGCTTCGTTGGTAATTTTACTACGAAAAGCTGTGCCATCATCAACACTGAGGGCATAGCAAAAGATTTCAAATCGACTTCGATCATGCATTCCGGGTACGCTCTGCATTAAATGCGATGTTGGATGATTGCCGAAATCGCTGCTCACATATCCAATTCGTAGTCGAGTTGAATTCAACTCGCGACAAAATTTGTATGGTGGCTTATGTAATATGTGAATCTTTTCCAAGCATAAATTGGCATGTCGGGCAGCAATTGCTTTACGGAATTCATGGCTCAATGGATAGAGCATTGAATGATGCGGATGTACCGATGGCAAACGATTCTTTTCGAGTTGTTCGGCAACAATAGCAACCAATTTTTTCATGCGACTATCATAGTCGGACCAATCGCATACGATTTGCAAGCAATGTGCCAAATTACAGTATGCATCGGGAAAGTCTGGTTTCAATTTAAGCGCTGTACGGTATGACTGTATAGCCTCGGGTATATTTCCAGAGTCCTTATGAATGCTGGCCAAATTGCTGTGTGCATCAGCAAAAGCTGGATTTATTTGAATTGCTCGTGTGTAACATTGTAATGCTCCGGTAACATCTTGCATTTCTTTCAGAGTATTTCCCATATTTGAGTATGCATCAGCAAACGATGGCTGAATACGAATCGCTTCTTTGTAATGCATGAGGGCCTCATTTAATTTGCCTTGTTGCTGCAAAACTGATGCCAAATTTGAATGTGCTGCCGCGAATTCGGGGAACACTTCCAATGCTTTCAAATATAATCGAGTTGCTTCTTCGATAAATCCTTGCTCACGTTTGATGTTTGCCAAATTATTCAACGAATCAGCATGTGTTGGGCATAGACGAAGTGCTGTATTATAACAATCTTCAGCTTCTTGGACCTGAGAGTGAGAGAGAAGGAACAGAAAAACGATAAAAAATATTCGTTCGTTGAACCATTGAAAAAGTCACTTTTATTCGGTAGCTAAAAAAGTCATTCGATATTCGTAAATTGGTTTTATTGCTATGGATAATAAGATAAGTATACAGTGAATAATGTTGGCGTCCAATAACCCATATTCACGACTGACCCTCAACTTGATTGCCCACCAATTTATTGTCGTTTTAATTTGCGGAGGAGTTTTCACATTTTACTTAATGGAATGTTAAGTTTTGCTTTCTCATTCCCAAATACCAAACATCCAACACATTTTGTTCCATTTCGCTGACATTTCTCATTTTCCCCCATTGACAAATTAAATAGCACATTTCATAGCATGATTCTGCCATGCTTCTTTATGCGCAACATTTATTTCAATATAATTCCATACGCATACCGTAATACCACTAGCATAACCATACGATCGTGTCGAGGGATTCATTGCGTGCTTGTTGGATTAATGATACATTGTGTGGTTCTGTGGTTTAATGAATCTTTTGAGGTTTGAACAACAACAAAAACACCAAAAATGACCACATTTTCCTCTAAAACAATGTCTAACGTGCATGCTCGTTGCTCAGCATTTACCACCAAAATTTCAAAGGCAACCAAATCAAATACTATAATAGACATTCAAATCATAAAATATAATAACATTTGATTGGATTCTTCAATTTACAAATCTTACTTGAAAGCAACTCAAATACATTGAAAGCTCTTCGAATAAGAATTATTTTTGCGGTAGAAAAGTAAAAATTGAAAGATCTGAAACAATGAGATTTTACTCTTTTGACCCATTGAAATTGAAAAAAAAAAAATTACATAAAAGAAATATGGTTGTATATAACGCAAATTACATTATTGTTTCAGTAGAGTGCCACCGTGTACTACACTGATGTTACGAATAACTCTAATTGAAAAAAATAATTTATGTTTAGCGGAAAATTGATATAAAGTGACCATAAAGAAAAGGCTTTTGATATGTCTGTAGCTTGTGATTACTTTTTTCTCATTTCATGTATAACGCAATGTCAATGGAAAGTGATTCGCATCAAAAACATTTAGAATTTATGTGCACCGAGTTATGTGCCAAAATCTTGAATTCCATTTCGCATATGAACTGGTGAGAAATAAAAAAACAATTCGGAACAGAAGCGAAAGGTAAAAAAAGCATAAAACTTAATTACACGTTTTTTGAACATAGAAAATGATTTTGTAAGTTCTTAGCTGTCTCCTAGGTATTGTACATATTTCTCTCTTTCTCTCTTTGTGCATATGTTTTGTCAAAAATAATAGAATTGCATACACACTTCCATTTATTGCAAACGTGTTCATTTATTTCGCTTGGGATATTTCTATTGCTTCATATCACTCTGCTTCATATCACTCTGCAAGCATTCAAACGTGTGGAATACGTTAATGGATTTTTGGTTCTATTTCGATCTTATATTCTAACATCGATGATTTTTTTTTACTTTCGCAACCTCTACCGCGATCTACAGCTGTTGCCAATTCTACCAATCGTATTCGTTAAAATATATATGCATACTTTTTTAGATATATTTACCTGTCCCTTTTCTTTGAGTGCATTGGCCAAATTACAATATGCGTCTGGGAAGTTCGGCTGTAGTTCGATGGCTCGGCGATACGTGTCGATGGCCAGATCAATGAGTCCTTGTTCATAGTAGACACAGGCCAAATTTCCATGCACGACCGCATTATTTGGTGATAAATTCAACGCTCGTAAATAAGCAGCTACGGCTCTATAAGAAGAACATAAAATAATTCATAAAATTAGAAAATTTATTCAATTGGAATTTGGTTTAAAACAAATTATCACGTTGGAGGTTTTAAATGCACATAGGTTCAGTTTAGCGATGGAATAAACGCAATTCTATGAAAAAAAAAAAACGATTAAACCGAAACAATTCGACATTTCGTTCACTTGCCGTTATAAATGTAACAGATTGTATCTATAATTCTACATCAGTTTTATCAAGCATGACATTCGATATTTATAATGGTTTCTATATTTCATTTCAATGCATATTCATTTTTTTGTTGAATTATTGGAACTTCTTTTGTTCATAAGTTTTGATAATAATTTCTGATAAACCCTCATTTTGTTTTCTTTACTAGAATTAACGGCGAACTTATGTACAGATAAAATATTGTTTGTTTGAGGACAAAAGTCTGAAACTAGTACATTTCTTTCCATTAAACAATAAAACAACTCAATCAAATATGTGACAACTTTGAAATTGAATACAGTCTATTAAATGACGAATCATTGAACAAATAAGTGAAATTTTGGGCTTATAAATGTCTTTATTCTTCGTTAAATTAAACGAAATAATTAATTTTCATTGAGCACTTCCTTCGTTGATAATATGACGAGCGCAATGAATTTGTTTGAATTGTACAGTGTACGAGAAATTCTATCTTTTTTGATCAAATAAATAATAAAAGAATAAGAGTGGGAGCGAGAAAAGCAATGACTTTAAGTTAAAAATCAAAACAATGATAAGTCGCATCATAAACCGGGTAACAACCGAATATAAAAATGTACAAGTACAAAAAAGTCTTCATAAAGTTCCTCTTAGGAGTAAGTAACTTTTTAAATTTATGTTCCATTGTTGATATGATTATTTTGTTCGCAATTGTTTCAATATGGATGTTGAAAGAGACAAGAAAAATATTACTGTATCTGTAGCGAAAATAAAATGAAATGTAGTAGAATAATTATTTGAAACCATTTAATCTTTCGATGGCATGAATCGAATCTAAATTACATGTCGCGTAGCACTGTTCTCTTGAATGAATTTCCGATTCGATTCATCTACTACTCATCAACTTTGCTGAACAATTTTAATTATCACAAGAGCTTCCAAGCAAAATGACACAAAATTTACAGTCTGTTTCATTATTTTCTAATAAAAAGAGAACCAACGAAGGAAAATCAAAAGAAGATCGAAAATCTTTTAAGTAAACTCTGTTATAGTGTATTTTTGAGAATACAATTTCCTACAAAAAGACTTTGAAACGCTTTAAAAAAGCGATTTTTTTAATTCTTTGATAATGAAACGCACTGTAATTTAATTTTCAATTTAATTAACGATAACAGAAATCACATTAAAGGAATTTTCTATCATCACAACGTCTAGATATGCACTGAAATGGTTGATGTCATCGAAACTCTTACATTTGATACAAGTAAATGAAATGAAGTGCATTTTCAAGATCGACAAAACCATTTAAATGATTATGAAAGTGCTCAACGTTCAATTAACAACGAAACACTGTCTTATTTTCAGACGTTACATCAGTGCCATTTAAAGTTTTCTCCATCAGGGGCCTTGGATTTGTTCAGCGTCGTATGCACCACTCTTCTTTTGCGTTTTTATAATTTGATTTCTTAAGAATTGAGTCATTTTCAAAGTAGAATGGTGCAAATGTGATCGAACATCGAATTGAAAATGATAAATTGCCATCGATTAATATATATCTGAAAACAAACACGTCCACACAGATTATTGGCGATTTTATGCAACAAATATAAAGTGAGTGATTGCGCAATAGCTCACTTCATTACTTCATCAATTTGATTTTTAGATAAATTTATCGCTGTTTACATTTTTCATGGATCAAGCTCAGAGACCGAGGCAGCTACCCCGCTTGTTCCAATGATGGAGTGGCTCTGAATTACATATAATCTGATAAAAGTGTACATTTTCTGTGAAATGAAATTGATAAATAATTGATTGTGAGCTTTTTATGGAGAATATCTTCATAGTACTTCACTATATGGACGTTCCTTCAAGTTTTAAAAGTAATTCCTGTTCCTGTGCAAACTTCATTGATGGAAAATTCTAATGAATTATTAATGGCTGTTGACAATAGCCGTTGTATCGGAAGTTATCCAACTAGTGTTAAAATTAGAAATAGTATTTTTGAACCAATACCGAACAACAATGGAAAAAAATCGATTTGTTGAAATCGTTATCACTTTTGAATGGAATGATATAAATCAAACAAAATAAAATAATTCTAGCAGTAAAACTGTCAAACATTGGCTTATTCCAATATCTATGAAAATCGAATCAATCGATAATGCAATTATTTTTAGGTTGTTATGGCATATCATTTCCATATTTATATGTGAAACCCAAAATTACAGATTTATATATAGATAACAAATTTTCACATCTCAATATTATATGTGTCGCTCATAATCAACAAAAACACCAAAGTTTTATCGTTTATATGTAAAGAAATTTTCATTTCAGACATTACTGTAATCATAAAAAGTTTTTGATGAAGCGTTATGGAACCAAAAAAAAAAAAAAAACAATTGAGAAAGACATTCAATTTATCATACTAAATCGATTGAATGTGGATGTGAAATAAGGCGCTATGGGAAGGTCAGTTATGCAACAATGAAATAACACGCATTGCATGGCAAATTAATATAAATATTCCCATTTTCTGGTGCACACGCTTATTTACATTTGAGTATTGACTGTCAATATTTATAAAGTTGCGGCGAAAGAATATTGTCGTCGTCGTTGTCAGTGACGACTGAGCATTAGCTATTTGCATGAATTTATCCACATCGACCTTGCGTGTCACAGTGCCCACAAAAGCCAATTTGTTCTAACCCAATGCCGATACGAATTACGTCTTATGAAAATTTGCAACTGGGAATAATACGAACAAACAGCATAAAAACACGATAAATCGATGTATTTTAAATTAATCCCACCAAAATATTTATAGACATTAACAAAAAATGTATTCTATTTTTGATCAAATTTATTCAATCACGAAAACTAAATTCCAGAATACGCAGAATACGATACTCTTCGTATCCACTTCTAAAAACATAACATATATTAGAGTATCGAACCAAATTGTATTGCGTTGGTTATGCACATCTTGTAGTTAATGGTGGCAGACAATGACAACAATAATAACAAGGATATCATAAAGGCACAATAACAAAATTAAAGCAGTATCGTTTTTTTGTGACGTGAATTGACACTCGGGTTCTTTTAATCAACAAAAATCATATATCATGTTGAAAATGAAAAGCAATGTACTGCCACACAAACTACGATGAAAGATTATCGCTTATTACTTTCTCTCTCTCTCTCTCTCTCTCGCTCTCTCTCTCTCTCTCTATCTCTATCAATTCGATTTGCATGAGTTAAGGCGTAACTTTGGTCAACATCAAGTCTAGATTCCTATCATAAAACAAGTAAAATAAATAGGAACTTATGTTCGGGAGTCTAACTTTTCCGCACTTTTTCCAAATTTTTCAAAGGATATTTATTTAAAGAGAAATTGAACTATACTACGGTGTTCAATAACCACCAAATATTAATTGCTGAGGTCATCAACGTTTTTTTTGGCCGACTAAGACACCATTATCAATCCGAAAATACGTCAAAAACTTGTAGAAAAACAATTTTCTAAGCATTGAACTGCTTGAGGATGGTTACAATAATTTATTGCACACCATGATGTATACGGAAAAGTAATGATGTAAAACGAGACTAGAACGAAACGAGTCGTTACACGTTACAAACGACAACAGAATAACAAATATAAAATAATTAATGCGAAGTGGATGTGTTGCTTTGTACTGTTTTGAACATGAAACATTGAATGAAATGGAATGAATTGCCGTTGTTTGCATTAATAAAATATTCGATATGTCGGTATGTTTCTCACAGCGATTCCCGACTTGTATTATTTGTACCAAGCTCATCATTGCGTTTGTTCGGAATTTCATATTAAATTTGTGGTAAGTTTCGCCACTCATTGCCACACCACAGCCACCATCGCGGCAAAGTAATAATGTAATTTGAACATTGACATTCAAAGAATTCACTTCATTTACGCACACATGCACAGAAGCTACTTTCTGTGTTGTCATTTCCTGTTTGACACACAGAAATTGTTTATTTGGTATATCCTACATCGTTTTCATTTCCATGAAAATTTTCCTATTCAATACGAATTTCGGGTGGTCATTTGCTCCTTTTCTTTCTCTCCATTGAATATGAAATGGCGGGCAGTAGCGAAAAGCTTGGTGCGAAAATTTCAATATACATTCTCCCACACACACACACACATAGACATGTTGTCAACAGGAAAGAATGAAATAAATTAAATCTCAGCCTATTATTTGAAATGTTACCGTCTAACCATGCTTGCAAGCACATCATATAAACATTGTCATTTCCGATTGAGATTCAATTTGGATGTGGTTGAATAAAATGTTGCGTTCGGTGAGCGGATTTGGTTTTCGAAAGTGGTAAATGGTAGCAGAAATGTCAGATCATATTGTGAAAATGTATTTGTGGACTGTGTTGGAATAAAGGAATGTCACAGAATTGATGTACTTATATTAATTGAATGCTGTTTTGTATTTTCCATGCACACATTTCAACCGAAACATTAAACGTCCACCCTCATGGCAAGTCGAGTACGGTATATGAGCTAATGGAGTTAAATAGAATACGAGAAACTTTAACAAATATTGTACGCATAAAACTTAGGAAACAAATAGCAATCAATTTGATCTCTGGCGTTTTATTAAAATCATCAATAAATGTGGTAAATGGGAATTGTTGCCAATGAAAATAAAATAAAAAATAAAAATACGAAAAAGATGCGAGTATTAAAATGCTCGGCATACTGATCTGAATTCAATTCGTACACACCGACAAAAGAAAAAAAGAATCGACCATAAATAAAC